TCTGATTCAATTAAACTTTTCCCAAAGTAGTAACTAATGACTAATGAAGACTTACAAATTACATCATGCAATTACAAAGTGAGAACGAGCCAGTAATACATAGTGGGCCGATTCGTAGCGTAGCGGACGTAGCGGACATCGCACAAGAGTTTACCTCCGGGGTTGAAATTCCGATCAATTCATGTGGAAATTATAATGAAGTGGGTCGCGGCAGTTTTTCTCAGGGTTCTCTTGTTTATCTAGTCTCCCTCTGCTATTGCTGCAACGTTATGCATCCCATCTACTGAACAAACCGTTCTCCTCCCAACTCTACACGAGATATCTGGTAATCGAGTAGTATATGAAATCATAGTAAATGGACAAATGCGTAATTAAATAAGAAGCACCACTAATAGAGAAACGCTGGTGTTGTTTTAAACGCTGCCGAAACCTTAGATATTTTAAAAACCTTTCCTTTCCCCGTCGCAAGGCCCGTCGTAGGTGGGCGCAGGAGAGCAAGGGCCGGGAGGGGGGGGGCGGCGTGAACGGACGGGAGGCCGCGCCAAGTGGCTCTGACGCCCCGGAGGGGGCGGGGTTTTTTCGAGAAGTGCACGCGATGGGCGCTCAACGAGATTAACAATGGCGGCCGAGGGCTCCTCCGGGGCCCTCGCGACAGTCGCCCCGGCGCACAGTGGTTGATTTCCTTCATACAGCGGTATTAAAATATTATTCAGAGAACAGTAAAGCCGCCGCTGTCGAAAATGGTCAGAATGATTCCTTGTGCCATTTTCCATTATATTGTAATGTAGGGACGAAATATAATAATAAATTCATTGCCCTCTAGTCTGTATAAGGGTTGCCATGTTATCCATGTTGAAACTACTTAAGAGATACTGCAATTTAAGAGAGACTACTTAAGAGAGATTGCAATTGCCTACTCCTACTAAAGGTTCATGAGACACTAACTCAAAATGAAATATTCTGATTCCAATTCATACATAACAGTGCAAATAAAATATTATAAAAACTAATAACAAATAAAAGTTACGATAGTAGATATTAATCGCTCTCTGAATCTGCTATTCTACCTTCACGTGACACAACACCTCCAGGAACATACACAACTTCAAAACTTCCGTCGGTAGCTGTTCAGTTTCCTTAGTTGATAGTCGCCAGATTCAGAGTCAGAAGAAATCAATAGGAAATGAAGCAGATCTTCATTGCCACGTACTCTAGATGATTTTCGAGTATATCATTGTGACTTGAAGACTTTGGGTCGGGCTTCCTGCGTGTCTTCGGACAGTTGTCCTATTGGGACAATCATTTGACATCACCGCCATGAATTAATATTTTGTGCACGGTTACATGCGAGAAATACCCATCCGTATAAACTGACATAAACGTTTGCTGTTTTAAATGCGCTTCTTCTGAAAGCTTCCGTTGTCACATCATAACCGCTCCTCACTGCTTGTAAAACAACACAGAAGCGGCGAACGAGACTTCCATCTATCCCAGTGATGTTAGTATACTGCGCCAGATTTTGAAACAATTGTCGAACAGTGTACGCATTGTTCAATGTACCACTTCCTCGTTTTAGGATGCCCATAAGGAGTTCCATTTTCTCTCAAAATTTGACAATTATTTGCATTTTCCTGGGATCTTACAGTATCTTTTCTTCAAATTCATGATCCCGCCATTTTATAAAATGTAGTCTGTAAGACATGTGAAGAAGGGACTCGAAGATGCGAATTTGAGCGTGAAAGACCAACATAAAAAGCTTCCTTGCGGCAAGATGTTTTTAATAATTTGTTTAAGAGTATTCATTTGTTTT